TCACTTTCACTTCAAATCTTTCTGAAAGAAATAAGCATATATTTGAAACTTTTCTATAAATTTAACCTTTACTCAAAGAGAAGGTGTAGCTCAGAGGAAACATTCTTGCTTTGCATGTACAAGGATCCACATTTGATCCTTGGTGCCTAGATAAATAAATAATATTCTCTAGTCAGTAATTTATTTTAAATTTATTCAATTTATAAAAGAGTAATATAAACATATAATTGAAGAATGAACTAATTATTTTGCAAGTCACCTGTGAGTTGCTATTTTATCAGATGTACATCAATTCTGTAAAACAGGAAAAAAAAGGATATAGTACTGTTTGGTCTTAGTATGATGCTTTCCTTAATAAGTTTAAGACCTTTTTATCTAAGAGGAAAACATAAATATTTAACAAGTCCAGTAATAGGATTAGAAAGAACTAAAGGAGTTATATTGTCTAATTTGCTCTTAAATTAACAGACTACGTAGGCACATAGTTATCTCTGTATATTATTGTTTAAAACCATTCCCACTGGAAAAATTTGCATGGCCTTTCAGATGCTTAAACAGATGATTATATTTATCCCTGAATTTTCCAAGAATCAGAACCTTGGAAACAAAGAACATATAAAACTTTACAATATATTCTGTGATCTTTAGAGCAACAACAAGTAAAAGATAATTCAGTGAGTATTAAGTAAATATAACAATTGACATGCTTGATTGACATTCTTTATTGGGAGAAAGAGTGTTAAAATGGAATGGTTGGGGAAGAATTAAGGATGGAACTACTGAGAGGAGAAAGGAGAAGGCAAAAGATAGAAATGGTGAACAAAACCCACGAAGTGGGGAGTCTATCTGGGGAGAAGATATTTAGCAGGGTTCTCAGGTGGATTGTTTTTTATGGTTATTTGATGTAGGATTTCCTGCATCTAGTGCCCTTTAACTACTGGTCATTCTAATCAGTTTTGATAGTTTTCATATTTTCATAATCCTTGTTTTTAGAACCTCATAATGGAATAATTGTAACAACTTTTGGTGGAAATTTCTCCCTAATGATAAAATAAGAGCTGCTGGAGAAATAACACTTTTCTAACCAGATGAACTCAATCTATACTCATTTTTTTTATTTATTACGGTGTAGCTCATACGTAAGAAAAGTTATAGTGAGTCATAATCTTTTGAAATTGAGGTTTTGGCAAAGTTTGATTTTTGAAACAGGATTTTCTTTGTTGTGAGGCTGTTTTATTGAGGATATTATCTTTTCTTTTATTATTAACCTTTTATGTCTTCTACTTTTTCCATCTTCTGTCATTTCAAATTACTATGGAGCTGTGATTGGAATCCAGCTGTTGTGTTGAGCTTGCTTTCTATTCAGGAAAAAATATTTTTGTGATTCAATTGCAGGAACTGTAGTTAGTTGAATAAGATGATAAAATGTTCTAATAACTAAAATGTTTTAAGGATTTCCAACTGTACTGTTTCATTCCTTCGGAACATTTGCTGTTCTTTTACCAGATTAGCACATTAGATGGGAAGGTGATGGAAGATCTGATGAATCAGGTATGCATTAGAAAATCAGATAAGCTTAGTAATTTTGGGAAAATAAACTAGAGGCATTTGGAAGAACAGTTTTAGGAAAAAGTCTCTTCTTCATCAAGAAGACTGGTCTCTATCTACTTTTCTACTGCCACTTTTCTTTCCCTTTTTTTCACATTTTTTTAAGTATGGGAGTTTTTAGTTGTGCATTTACTTCTCATCTATCTTAGTCCTTCCTATGCTTGAGTCTATGTCCTCCAAAACATCCATAGTAGGGATGTACAGGAAGTACCGTGTGTACCAGACAGTGTCCCCTGGCCAGCTCCTAGGCAATAACAAAATATTACTGATGAATCCATATCTGTCATGATCCAAAATAACTGCAGTGCACCAAGTAAAGAAGAATCCAGTAGATGTTTGATGGATGGTTTAAGAGGTGAATGTGCAACAAAACATAGTTTATAATGGAAGTCTTTAAGGAACAAAATTGTTTAGGTGAGCACTTTTGTCCATAAATATAGCTAGCTATGTGTGCAGGCTTGTGTACATGCATGTGTCTGAGTGTATGTCCATGAGTGATTATCATGACCCTTAGCTCCCTGTTGCATTTGTATACCTGTCCAGGAAGTACTCCTAATAGAAAACTAGCAAGATTTCTCAGGAAAAAAGGGCATCAGACACAGTTATTCTATGTTTACCTTATACAAAGTGATTTGCATGTCCTAAGATGTGAGATGTCCACATCACAGATCTGAACTTTCTCACACTGATATACAATAACACTTAGGGCATTAGACTAACAAGGCAAAATTCTCCATTCCAGGGCTTCACATGTCTTTACATGTCTTTCATTTTATTGTATTCTGGACTAGGCTGCTCTTATACGAACATTTTAGCAGCCTTGGTCTTAGAGACATAAAGAGTATTATTTCTGTTGTGGCTGATTTAATATTACAGCTGCTTCCTCTTTATGTGATTTAATTTGAAGCTTTAGCCCACCAGGGGGCTATTGGTCCCCACCTTTGCAGTTTGAAGAGCCAACTGCTGTTTTCTGTGTGGATGTTATTTCCATTCCTATTCATAGTGATTTTCCCCTTCTATATTCATCTAGCAACAGCAAGGCACTGTTCCAGGAACGCATTGCCTCTACATAAGGCATAACATGGAACCATTTGGATGGAAAAATTACAAATTAAAATTATTCTGTTCATTTTAAAATATTCATATTGTGCTGCTCAAATGCCAGTAACTGGAAAATCATGGAAAAATGTCCTGTTTTTATAACCTCTTTCAGAATGTTTTAAAATCTGTTTATGTTGTTACTTAGCCATCTCTTTTCCTCGAGTGGATTTGTGATAAAAATGTATTTTTTTAATAATGTATGAATCCCCTGTCTGATTATGTATATAATATTAAAATAAAGATGACCCCATTAATTGCAATTCATTTTCAAAGTGAAAATATTTATTTTATGTACAGAGAATGTTTATAGAATTGTAAGACTATAAATATAGCTTATAGACACATACTTCTTTAGAGGGTAAAGAAATCATGTTTTAACTGCATGATTAAAACTAAAAGGAACTGGGCACTGATGGCTCATGCCTATAATCCTAGCTACTCAAGAGGCTGAAATCTGAGGATTGTGGCTCAAAGCCTGCCCAGGCAGGAAAGTCTGTGAGGCTTTTATCTCCACTAAAGCTGAAGTGGAGCTGCAACTCAAGTGATAGAGAGCCCTTGAGCCAAAGAAGCTCAGAGGCAGTACCCAGACCCTGAGTTCAAGTTACAGGACTGGTGCACGCGTGCGAGCACACTCACACACACACACACACACACACACACACACACACACACACACACACAATAAGAATTGAGGATTTATAACTTAAACTTGGGTTTAAATGTTTATAACACTACTAATTTTTTAAATATAAATATTTTCAGCTTTCTTATTGGAGGTTTTTTTTAAATAGCTTTATTCTCATTACCAACTCAGAATTCTTTCATTTGGGAAACTAAAATTTTATTTCTATTCTTAGTGGGGGTTTTGTTGTTTGTTTATTTTTGAGACAGAGTCTCGCTATGTAGCCCAGTCTGGCCCTGAACAGCAATCCTGCTGCCTCTGCCTCTTGAATATTATTATCCTTGTATTTTCCACGTTGTGATGGTGTACGTGGGGCTGTGCCTGCCTCAGAAAATGGAAACATTTTTATATGGGTTACATGAATTTTTGATGAAGTATATATCTTTTTTATTTTAATGGGAGATCATTGACAGATATTACCTCTAAGCTGTGCAGTATACTAAAGCTCTTTTGTTTTTGCTTTTAAAAAAATTCTGTGAATTCTAAGTTCACATTTGTGTAAAAGCCATGCATTTTATTTGTTGTCTTGGTTAGGAAGAGTTAAATGTATTTTTGAAACCCTTTTGCCAACTAAAGACAATTTAAAATGATAATTTGAAGACACTTTCTAGAAACACTGTGGTCCAGGCTGAAATCTTAGTTCGTGTGCCATGTGTGTTGAGGTTCTTCAAAAGCAACAAATCACTTGAGCATGAACAAATTTCACAGGCTTATTTATTGTTTGTTTTACCCTTGCAAATCACTTGGCCTTTTAGAACAAGCTAATCCTTTAATTGAATATGGGTTTGGAAGTGTTCTGATGTGGACTAGAAAAACCTTCATCACTCTTAGAGCCCATTCTGTTTAATTCATTTTAAATGGCACTAAGTGATCTAAAACTATTTCCACCTGATTCTTTGGAAGGATGTTATTGCCAGCTATCATACTTGAAGATGGGATTCTTTATAACAACAAAAATATAAGTACAGCTTTCTAAATCCTGGTTGATAGGACATAGGATTGGAGCTGTCAGTAAACAGGTTTCCAACACAAACACTTAATGTGGCATCTAACTCTTTAGAACACAGCAATAAAACAAGCACTATGAATAAAGAAAACAGATTAGAACACCTACCTACTTGGGAGGGTGGGGGAGGAGAAACATGGATTCTCTGTAATGAATAATTTGTAAGTTAATCTTTAACTTCACTTAACATTTTCATCTTAGGTTGGTGGCAGATGGATACAGTGAGCTAACTGTTGACTATCCCTGTTATGTGGGATGACCAGCCTGTTTGTGGCTAAAATAGATGTTCTCTTGAGATGGGAATGAAGGTTCAGCCTTGGAATGTTCCTGAAGGAAGCAAGGTTAAACTGATTGGCTGTGAATGTGAATCATTTCATAGAACACACGGATCATTTTCAGCATTGTTGTAACTCTCTAGTGTTCATAAAATGAATTTAATAATCCCCTACCACCTTGGGATATGTTGCTTTTTCTTCGCAATTGAATGCCCAGACTTCCTGCATAATAATGTTGAAAAACACTGCATTAAAATGAGTGAGCAGCTGTAATGATGAAGGAAACAGCTCTACCATCTCTCTGTTAATTATCTTCTTTGATTCACAGAGGGTGTTTGTGAGATCTGGTTGACCAGTGAAGACACGGGGGCCTATGGCAGAGATATTGGCACTGACCTCCCCACACTCCTATGGAAGCTGGTGGAAGTGATTCCTGAAGGAGCGATGCTCAGGCTTGGCATGACAAATCCACCCTATATTTTAGAGCATCTGGAGGTAAGTAAAACACACATTCTCATGGTGACACAGACCATGTGGTATACTTGTTTGTAGTCTCACAATACCAGGAGACCAGGAGTCAATTGAGACTTTAAACTCCCTTCTCTGACAAAGTATGTGATTTGTTTTTGCTTCATTATATCCTTATTACTGTTTAATGTTTAAAATTTTTAATAGTTGCCACTTTATTTATGTTTCTTTTCTTTTTTTAATGCTGGTACTTGAACTCATGGCCTGGGCTCTGTCTTTTAGCTTTTTTTGTAAACTAGAGGCTGATGCTTTGCCATTTGACCCACACCTCCACTTCTGGTCTTTTGGTAGTTAAATGGACTTTTCTGCCTGGCCTGGTGGGATCCTGAGCTCTCAGCCTCTTGAGTAGCTAGCTTACAGGAGTGAGCCACTGCCCCTCAGCTCTTATTATGATTCTTTGTAGCTTTGTTATCCTTCCAGTTCCCAATGTATAAATTTCACCCATTTCCTTCAAGTTGAGCCCTAGCCTGCTTGAGAGCTATTATCTGCTCTCCTTTATGCCCAGCAGCATGGATATTAAGCCTCAAATTTGAGGATGATTTTCAATTTCATCCCTATGTCTGGAGGAACTCAGGATCAAGGTGGAATCAAAGGAGTATGGAGCTTAGTACACTTCTACTGGTTCATCTGTGATCTCTAGAAACAAAGACAGGTGAAGCTTCTCTCTCGGGTTTCAGTTTTATATCCATGAACCAGAATATTTCCCCTTGTCAACCTATTAAAAAATGGACACATATCCAAGGAACTGATGGCTGATGACAAATACCACAGACATTTCCATGAAAAAGAGCATGCTAGGATCCATCTTTATTATTTGAAAAGCAGTTATCTTAGACTTACATTACTAGAGATGTGATCTAAGTATTTTAGAAAGTCATCTTTAAGTATAGAAACAAATCTCTTGTTTTCAATCAGGTATGTTCTTTGCAGTAAGCTCATTTAGAAAAACAATGTTCCAACAAACTGAAAGCAATTATAGTTGCTGAAATATAATGTTTAAATGTAAATGAATACCTAAATATTTTAAAAATACTTCTTTTGATTTGGTATCAAGACTCTACAAGGTTTTTGTTACTTATCATCCTAATATCAACAACATGTTTTAGAGCTGCTTTAAACAGAATTGATAATAGACTTGATAATTATAAATATATAGTGAAGAAATTTTGTAATTTCAATCTTGTAATTTACATGTTCCTAGCTAGAGTTTTCTAGTATGGGTGTGTGATTTACATGTTAAGATAGTGTAGGCTAATTATGATTTACAGTCAGAAGCATATCAACTTTTACTTTACACTTTGACTTATCACTTGAAAAAGCAAGTGATTCTTTGTTTAAAAAAAAATAGGCTAGGATCTCAGTACTCTGTTAAGTGTATAGTAAATGTGAAGCACAGTATACATCATGAACACCCAGCAATGCACTACTTGTGTCTTTGGTAGAAAGGGAAATGCTACTCTCCCCCCCAAAAAAAATATTTTCAGTTTCTTTAGATTAAAAAAAAAAAAAAAGATCTGGGATCACATACAGTACCCATAGTTGTTATTGTCAGAAAGCACAAGGGAAAAATATCATGAACAACTTTAAGATGGCCAGCTGAATTGGATTAAATTCATCATTTTAATTGATTACAAGAGTGCACCAGCAAATACTAAATTCATAGTAAATCCTACTGCTCACCATCTAAAGTAATGGCAGACAGTTTAGAAAGTCATAAGAAGATGCTAAATATGAGCTAATAGTTTGCCAGGAAAATCACATGTACTTAGTTCATAGATCATAGATGACAAGTAGTTTTGCTTGTTTTGTTTCTTTCTTTCTTTTACAATGCTAGTGCAGTCTGTGCAACTACTCTGCCACTAAGCTACCTCTCCAGTTTCAAGTGACAACAAGTTCTGATGGTCACATATTTTTTCAAACCCTTGCTTTAAAATACGATACATGTATAATGTTGACCTTCTTTCCTTCACTGTCACTTTATTGAGGCAAGCACTTTGTCATTTCTGTCTGTGATTCACATCCCCATCCTGTAGTGCTCACTAAATGACTATGAAAGAATAAATAAGGAAAAGCTTTCTTCATAAAATAAATCTCAGAAATCTTACCACTTCTGGCCAGAAGAGGTAGCAAAAGCTGACGGAATAAGTGGGAATTGGCAGGGTTTTCCCCATAGAAAGCCACTGATTTATCTGTGTTTTATAAGCAGGGGGGGTGATTCAGGCTACCACAAGTGGGATGGTTATTAAAAAAAGAAAACAAAACAAAACAGAGGAAACAATACAGTATACATGAACAGAAGATCCACACAATATGAAAGTACGACCTTGTCAGCTTTCTCCACTTTGAGAGGATTTTTTTTTATACCTTTGTGGTTCCTCTTATCCTCCTCAGGGTACAGATTCCAGAATGGGCAGTGGCCCACAAACACATTCTATGTAGTAGAGAAGATGATAATGAGCTCCAGCTGGCTTACCTGGCTTCCAGGGACCAAAATGGCCTTAGGGAAGGAAGCTCAAATCTGGTGATCTCAGTTCTTTGTCCAGCACTACATCATCCATCCTCATTTTCCTCTCAATAGGCTTAGGGCCACTCTACAGAAATTACTTGATTTATTTGAAGGGTGCTAAAAAAGGGTCCCAATAAGAAAAGAAAAAGAAGTAGGAGAGACAGAAGATAAAAAAAAAAAAAACAGGAAAAAAATAACAGTGACTGGAGGTGGTAGGATTTTCTTAACTGAAAGGATAAAAGGAACCCACTCTTGAAATAACTACTGTGAGTGTTAATACCCTCTGAGTGAGGATTTCTTGAGCATTTTATTGGTAGGACTCAGCCTTCTTGTGTTTCTAGGACATGCTTCACACAGCACAGTTTAATTACAGAGCACTTCACTGGGCTGTTTTCCTCTTCCTTCATTCTGATCACTTCACATTCACCTGACTCTCAAGATTTTTTTAAAGACCCTTTACCAACTTTTTTGGGGAAGAGTTTAAGGGGAAAATTATTTAAAGAAAAACTTCAAAGTTTCTATCCTATTATTTAAAATCATAGTGAGTAAAAAGAAGGTCATTTGAGAATGCATTTAGAGCTCATAGTAATAGACAATGCATATTGTACTTGACATAGAATACACTTCTAAATTGTATCAATGCCTGGCATCCACTTTTTATAGGAGATATTGAACAAATGAAAGCATGCTGGATTAAAGGAATAACTATTAGTAGCAGACAACCAAGTGTAAAATGTCATTTGAAAATATCTGCAATCCCTGTTTATAACTTAGTCTTGCATTTTATACACATACCCCACATATATGATTTAATGATGGTATTCCTCATAGAGATATCTCAAACATAAATATAAGGAATCAAAGCATCACTGTGTATATATGTGATATTCTATATTAGATTCACATGTGCTTATAGAAACACTAGTCTTATGTTAAGGATCTTTAAGATGCCTTTTTATTCTATTTCCATATGATGCTTGCATATAATATATATATATATATATATATATAAATCACTTTCATAATCTTGAATTCTTTTTATCTTATTCTCATTTCATATGATGTCTTAATCAGATTCACTGATATTTCCTACTATGTGTCTTGACTAAAATATTGCCTCTCTAGTTACAAATAAGTATTTTCCCTGGGTTTACGATCCTGTTGGTAATATTTGCATAAAAACACTGACATGTTTCTCTTGAGTAAACTGACCTAATAGAAAGCCAAACATTTTATAAATTTGATCTGTATTGTAACTACAGTGTTTAGTTTCTCCTCCAGACAATCCATAGCCAAGTTATTAATTCAGAATGAAAAGAATACACAGGAACAAAGTACATCAAGCTCAGTCATGGAGACACATTAAGTACTGCCAGTCAGGCATCAGAAATCACTGGTAACTTTTTTCCATGAATGAATAAATAATATAAAAAAGAATTCTGATGATAATAATGGTAATTGATAATAAATCAGTATGATTTGTTAGGTGCTTAGTATTTATAAGAGGCCAGATGGATTGCTTTCCACATTTGATCTTTTTCCTTCTTAAAACAAGCTAGTTTTATAAATATTATTACCTTCATTGTATTGATTGAAAAGCCAGATAGTAGAAAGGTTGTATAACTAGCCAAGCCACGTAGCTCATTTGCCACTGACCTGGTTTCTAGTTTCTTCTGACCTTCAAGTGCTTTCTCCTGTTCTGTTGGGTCTTCATGAGCCCTTCCCACACTCTTACCACTACAGGTTTTTCTCCACACTCCTCTGAGAGCCTCCTGATTATGTGTGAATCCAGTCTCCCTAAGTGTTCTATGTTGTTTTTGTTAGATTTTTCTTCACTGACAGAAGCTACTCAGTTATATTTTGGCTCACAGTTTCAGTCCATTAGTAGAAGGAGGGCATGGGGATGCAGAACAACAGAATGGTGGCCAGGATGCAGAGAAAGTAGAGATCTAGTCCCTACCTCCAGCACCTTCCAAGACTGCCACAAGATGGGGACCATGTCTTCAACACATGATATGTGGGGGAAATTCCAGATCTTACCCTAACACTTTGCCCTGGTGTCCCAGCACTCATGGTCATCTCAGAATGAAAAATGCAGAGTGTCTTTCTTAAGAGTTCCAATAGTCTTTAGATTTCCAACATGGTTTGAAAGTCAATGTTCAAAATCTCTTGTGAGGCTCAAGACAAACTCAGCTCTGTGCTCATGTAAGAAAAAAAAAAGGTACATACTTTTAAGACACAATGGTATAGAATAAATATTGTTAATCCCAAAGGAAAGAGTAGACTAGCAAGGAAAGATGGAACCAAAGCAAGATGGATACCCAGCATGCAAACATTCAATCCTGTAGCTCCATTTCCAGCATTCCAAACTCATGCTATGAGATTCACTCTAAAGGACTTAGGCCTGTCCCTTCTTGTTCCGTCAATTTCATCCTACATGACCTATCTCTTAATCTGGCTT